CACTTCCTACTGAGTTTGCCACTTTTATTTGATAAATCTGTGGAGTTTTGCCCTTTCTCCAAATTGAGTCAGCCTCCTCTGCCAGCAAAGCTGCTGGTTCTCTTGGCTAGCCCCATGCTGATAAAATTGCTTTTCTCATGGACTGAGTTGGGACAGTGGATGGATGGCAGCAGCCCCAGGCAGGAAAGCCAGCAAGACTCTTTACCCAAAGCTCTAACAGTTTGAGAATAATTTGCAATTTGTTGTCTGCTTATCTATTTCCAGTGCCCTCAAATGGTTGTTTTTGACCACATATGTGCATGTTAAGAGGATTCACAGACCTCGTCACAAAGCCATAGCCAGAAGTCTGTACCTCTGTTTACAGTCTGATGTACATTTTAATGCATATTTACTTACTTTTCAGTTCATTTTTCATATTTACAGATATTAAACTATAAAAAATAGCATTTTTTATGTCCTATAGGTGCAAATTATTTTTTCCTTAATACTGTTTTTTTAATTAACCTTCTTTTTACTTAAAAATTCTAGTCCATTTAAAGACTATAGAATTCCATCTAGTCAATATACCAAATTTTGCATTCACTCACTGATGACATTTAGGTTGTTTCCAGTTTTTCACAATAACAAATGGAGCCACAGTGAACATCCTTATACATGTTTCCTTTTCAATTTTACTAGATATTATCAAATTGGTCTCCAAATTTCATATCAATTTACACTGTCACTCCTACTAGCTAAGAAAAAGCAGACCTGTTTACCTACAATCTGGCAAATGCTAGATATTTTCAGATTTTTAAAATTTCCACATAGGATGAGTGAAAACTTGATCTCAATGTAGTTTTAAAATATATATATAGTTTTAAGATGTGTGACATTCTACCAAATTGCCCTTCAGAGAGTTTGTATCAAATTAATCTCATCAATCCTAAACGTTATCATTTTTTAAAATTTTGACAATTTGATTGATAGGAGAAAACTGGTATCTTTGCTTTTTTATATTTCTTGGTTATTACTATGGTTGAAACTTTTTTTCATATGATTATTGGCCATTTGTATTCTTTATGCAATTCTTGGTCTTTTTTTTTTTTTTTTTGCCTATTTTTCTATTGTAAAGTAAATGTAACTTTTAGGTCTTACATTTAGGACAGTGATCCATTTCGAGTTAATGTTTGTGTATGGTATGAGAGTGTATTATTATTATTATTTTTTGGCACATAGATACCATTTGTTCCAATTCCATTTGCTGAAAAGACTATCCTTTTCACATTGAGTTGCTTTTGCACCTTTGTCAAAAATTAATTGGCCTGGCCGGCCCTGTGGCTTGGTGGTTAAGTGCGCGCGCTGCGATGCTGGCAGCCCGGGTTCGGATCCCGGGTGCGCATTGAGGCACCACTTCTCTGTCCATCCTGGGGCCGAGTCCCACGTACAGCAACTAGAAGGGTGTGCAGCTATGACATACAACTATCTGCTGGGGCTTTGGGGGCAAAATATAAAATAAATAAAATTAAAAAAAAAAAAAAAATTAATTGGCCATATTTATACAGGTCTGTTTCTGGACTCTCTGTTGTGTTCCAATGATTCTGATCTCTGTCTGTCCCTTCACCAATACCAAACTCTCCTGATTACTGTTGCTTTATAGTAGATCTTAAAATCAAGTAGTATGATTCCTCCAACTGTACTATTTTTCAAAATTGTTTTAGCTATTCTAGTTTCTTTGCTTTTCCATATAAATTTTAGAGTCAGCTTGTCTATATGTACGAAAATTCCTACTGGGATTTAGATGTAATTGTGTTAAATCCATAGATCAATTTCAGAAGAACTGACATCTTTACTATATTGAGTCTTTCAATCCATAAACACAGTATGTCTCCATTTATTTAGGTCATCTCTGATGTCTTTGATCAGGGTTTTGCAGTTTTCAGCATGTATATCCTGTACATACTTTGATAGATTTACACCTAAACTGTTTCATTTGGGAGGAAGGGGCTATTTTAAGTGGTATTTTCAAAAATTTCAGTTTCCAGTTGTGCATTGCTAACCTATAGAAATATGACTAGCTTTTGTGTGTTGATATTGTATCCTGTGATCTTGCTAAGCTTAAACTCACTTACTAGTTCTGGGAGGTTTGTAGATTCCTTGAGATTTTCTACAGAGACGGCCATGTTGTCTGCAAATAGGGACCATTTTATTTCTTCTAAACCGTGTGTCTTTTTCTCACCTCTTGCACTGGTTAGGCTTTCCAGTACTATGTTGAATAAGAGTAGTGAGAGTCAACATCTTGCCCTGTTGCTGATCTTAAGAGGAAAGCATGCAGTCTTTCACCCTGAAGCATGATGTTAGCTGTAGGGTTTTGTGCATGCCTTCTATCAGATTGAGGAAGTTCCCCTTCCAGCATGAATGGATGTTGAATTTTGTCACATGCTTTTTCTCCATCAATTGATAAGATTATGTGCTTTTTGTCTTTGGATTGTTAATATGGTAGAGTACATTGATGCAGGTTTGAATACTGAACCAGCTTGACATCCTTCTTCTTTTCCAACTTTATTGAGGAATACTTGATATACGAAAAATCATACATATTTAACATATACATTTTGATGAGTTTGGATACACACATATACCTGCAATACCATCACCACAGTCAAAGTAATAAACATATTTGTCACCTCTAAAGGATTTCTGGTGTCCCTTCACTTTTTTTTTGGTAATAACACTTAACATGATATCTACTCTCTTAAGTTTTCAAATTTAAATGCATAATTTGATTTTCTGACATCAGTTTTAGGGACAGTAAAATGTTTCAAGGTCAGTCATGTCCCATTGTTGTTTTTTTTTTTTAATTGAGGTCACACTGGTTTACAACATTATATAAATTTCAAGTGTACATCACTATATTTTGACTGCCGTATAGACTGCATTGTGTTCACCACCAAAAGTCTAGTTGCCCCAGCCTGACATTCTTTTTTTTTTAAAGATTTTATTTATTCATTTTTCCCCCCAAAGCCCCAGTAGATAGCTGTATGTCATAGGTTCACATCCTTCTAGTTGCTGCACGTGGGACTCGGCCTCGCGTTGGACGGAGAAGTGGCACCTTGGGGCTTGCCCGGGATCCGAACCCGGGCCGCCAGCATCAGAGCGCGTGCACTTAACCGCTAGGCCACAGAGCCGGCCCTCAGCCTGACATTCTTAAGAAAAAAACCTCACTTCATCATGGTGTATTATTCTTTTTTATATATTGCAGTATATTTTGTTGAGGATTTTTTATGTCTACGTGCATGAAACGTATTGGTCTATAGTTGTTGTTTTGTTTTGTTTTTTTCTTGTAATGTCTTTGCCTGGTTTTCGTATCAGGGTAATGCTGGTCTCATAAAATGAGTTGAGAAGTGTTCCCTCCTGTTCAATTTTCTGGAAAAGATTATGTAGGATGGGTGTTACTCCTTCTTTAAATGTTAAGTAGAATTACCTAGTGAAATCATCTGGGCTTGGAGAGATTTCTTTCTCACAAGGTTAATAACTACAAATTCTTTTTTTAAATAATTAGGGCCTATTCAGGTTATCTGTTCATCTTGGTTAAGTTGTTTTTTATTTTATTTATGGTATTTTGTGACAGCCACAAGTTTTAGATCTTTTTATAATTAAATCTATCAATCTCTTCCAGTATATCTTTGTGTCCTCAAAGAGTTCTTCTTTTGTCCAACTTTTAATTTTAGTACTTTTTATTCCAGTACTATATTTTCTTTTGGGTAATTTATATTTTTCAGTTTTGATGTAAAAAATGTTAATCCATCTGGAATTTAGTGAGTGACAGGAGGTGAAGATCCAGACTGTCTTTTAGGTTAAAAATTAGTATGCAAGAAAAGAATAAGGCGGCCTTGGAATCTCCCAACTCAATAATCATAAACTTTTTCTCATTTAAAAAAATTTACTTATTTACAAATAGATTATATTTCTTAATAACCATGAAGGCTATTTAAAAAAACTCAAATATACAGATGGAGTACAAATACTGTGAGTATACATGAGGAAATTTTAAAAAGGAGCAGGATAATTAACTAGAAAACACAGAATAAGGAAGTCTTCAATTAACATTTATGCTAAAGAAAACAATAATCAAAATATCAAAACAACTTCTGAAAACTAAAAAAGAATGTTTATTTAATGACATGGGGAAATACAAGAATGGTAAAAAGTAGAATGCAAAACTTTCCCTATAATCCTTTATCTCTGTCTCACTCTTTCTCTCATATGACTGGAAAATAATGTACGTCAAAATGGACTAGATGTACAAGCAGAGAAAATCAACATTTTTAAAATATTTAAATTACATCTTCACAAATCCCAAATTCCTCCTAATGGGCCTCTGAATCCATTAGTGTCCATTAGTCTGATCAACCCAGCTGAGCATGGGACACTGTCCTCCCTCATCAATCCTTTGTGTCTCTCCCAAAGGCAGCCACTTTCAAAAGGATGACTTTGCTTGAGAAAGGACTAGTGTTGAAGGATGAATTCATCACTTGGCTTTCCTCTAAACCCCAAGTACCTCACTTTTGAACACAGGTCAACAAAATTCTAGCTGCTACAAACATTCCCTCTTATAAGCCAGAGGAAAAGAGTCAAGGAGGTTGAGAGTGGAGGGGGAGCCAATGTTTTTCTCTTTTATCACTGGTTTTCCTCATCAACCGATACATGGGGCCACATTCATAGTGTGTATAATCTCTACTCTTTATGCAGGTGAATTTTGCTGAGATTCTGAAGGAATAAAGGAAATAGAAATCAGATGATTGTATTGGTTTTGATGTTCCAACTAATTTGGGGAGATATTGTGCCTAAATTCATGTGTAAAGGATTTTGTACAAAATGGTGTCCAGTCTTATCTTTCCATCACAGGCATGAACAGCTAATTATAATTTGTCCATATTCATAGATAGGCCATTCCTCAATGTTCCTCCCAATCATGACTGGGAAATGATGATAACTGCAAAGCCACTTCTTCTACCTACCCTTGTGTTGGGCCTCTCCAGACATGGCATAAGCCTTGGCTAGTAATGCACTCGCCTCTGCAGTTTCAGGGCTGACTTCAGTGAACAAAGAAACACAGATAGAATGGGCCTGGAATAGAAAACATCATGACAAGGTAAGTACTCAGATGATAGTGTTTCACTGTGAATTTTCTAGTAGTTCTCATAGAATTGCTAGTTAGATTGAGAGCTGATATATATCTAATCATGGAGTTACATGAGAGATGAGTTTGAGTTCCAGCTCTGCTACTTCCTAGCTATGAGTCTTGAGCAAGTAACTTCACCTTCATATGTAGAAGAAATATATAGTTTCCATTGATTAGGGTTTGGGAAAGATTAAATGAGATGATGCATGCAAAGCACTGGGTATAGTATCCATCACTTGGTAAGTTCTCAATAAATGTTAGCTATTATTATTTTTTATTAGGTTTCATAGCAAAAATAAAACCATAACTTTAGCTCACCCTCTCAAAGGTTTAGTATCAAAGGATGTCTGGTAAAGCATGGATCCTAGAGCCATACTGCCTGGGTTCCCATCCTAGCTCAGCCACTTCCTGTGACATAAGGCAAGCCACTGACTTCTTCAAATACAAAACAGGGATGACAAAAATAGTACTTGTCACAAATAGCTGTTGTAAAGATTAAATGAATTAATATATGTAAAGTATTTAGAACACCACCTGGAATACAGTGAGCACTAGAGGAGTGTAGATTTTATTATTATTATTTGTACTAAAATGGAAGGAGTAACACTTTGGAAAGAGAAAGAAGAGAGAAAACGTCTAGTCCACACCTAACAGCAAGAAAAGAACCACCTGTGCTTCGTATTTCACAGGCCAAACACCGTGAGGTGTTTCAGGGAGCTCCAGAGATGATCAGATAAGACTCTGGAGCTAAGACACAGTACAGAGCTGTTACGAGTACAGGCTCTGGGCTCGAATTTTCTGAATTTGATTAAATCCCTGCTCTACCACTTGTTAGCTGCACAACTTCAGCTGAATTAGCTGTGACTCTTTGAGCTTCAGTTTCCTCATCCTTAAAATGAGATAAAATAATAATGGTGCCAACTTCACAGGGTTATTGCATAGATTATATGAATTAATATATCCTCAAGTGCACAAAGTAAAAGCATTCCATAAATTTGAACTATTATTTTTCATTGTTGTTGGGAAACACTGATTATTTACTGTTTTATCCATTCTGATCTGACCACTACCTTAAGAAAGTCTTGGACACAAAAGCCAGACTGGCTTTCTTTGTAAGCAGTGGGCTCCCTGCCTTCAGAGCAGCATTCCCTAACATCTCTCCATTGTGATGTGAATAACCTTGGATTTTCGGATTGTCTGCAATTCCTTTTCTCCAGTATCGGTTTTCACATACACTGTTGGATTGCACTGCACCTTTTCTATGATATAGGAAATCCAATATTTTGATCTGCTTTTGGCTATGGGAGATAACTGAAGCCACAAGCAGTGTTCTCATTTGAGGACAGAAAAGGTGAATTTAACTAGCAGTTTCAAGAGAAGTGCCCTATACCGTTTTCATTATGATAGACAACATTCCTTCCTATGTTTTGTTTTCCCCTGGGCATTTGTCAAATTAGTTACCTCCAAGTGAAACACTCTTTTTTTAGTTTAACCTTAGACTTGGAAATGCAACCAGCTAGACTCGCTTAAAGGACAAATGACAACCTTACACCAAAACATCATGATTTTTCATTTAAAAAGCCCTTGAGTTTGCTGAAGACTTCAGTTCAGTTGCCCCCAGTGGCTTTTTTCCCTGGAGTAGACTCACTCGGCTACCTCTTCCTAGCACCCACACAGATGAGGGGAAGCCTGGGAGGAGAAGTGCTGTCTCAGATCAGGTCGCGCCGCAGATACACCTACCCTGAGTCAGTGTTCTCTGTCCAGGTCATTAAAGGTGAGGAAGGGCTCTTGTGTGGATCTGGAGGGAAATCAATCCCACCCCTTGTTCTTCTGAGAAGCCCAAGCTTCCCCGGGCCTGGGGCCAAACAAGGCCACTCAGCTGGGGCTCCAGCCAACCCACCAACCTGGTGCAAGTACTGGATGGCCTGGTCGTGGTTCCTCCTCAGCTGCTCCATCTGAGCAATTTCCTGGTATAGACTGACCAGATCTGATGTCCTATCACCCTTCACAGCAATAATGTTGCCAATTGCCTTTTCAAAGTATGCCAGAGCGAGGTTCAACCTGTGGATGGCCAAGGAGGCTCTACAAGAAAAGGGACAAAGATGGAAAGTCACAGACAGGCCACTTACTTTGCAGACACAAAAGGAACTGATTCTAAGAACTAAACAATTTGGCCTTCACAGACCAGTCATCTGAGTGGTTGGCTCAAAATCCAGCCTTGCTATAAACAAATTCCTACCAACCTGCATTTTACCCACCAGATTCCACTGACTACCATTCATCAAACTCATTAATATATCATGCCATAGTCTAATTTTATAAAAAAGCAAATGGAAAAAATGGCTTCCAGCATAATTTACCCATAAACCCATAGACTTTCTAAAATCAAAACAAAATTTTATTACCTCTGGCTCCCTCTCTTTCAGGCCAAAGCAAAGTTTTTGCTTTGTTTTGTTTGATTTAGTTTAGTTTATTCCTCCTCAGTTCAAAATGAGAAAGGACAGAAAAAACAATGTAAATATCCCCCCCCAAAAGAGGTTAGTTAAATAAATATGGCACATCATACAATACAATACTTCAGACATTAAAAATCATGTTTTCTTTTTAGACTAACTATATAGGGAGAAATTCAACATGTGCTAAGTTAAAAAAAAGTTATAAAATTGTACTTAAAATATGATCATGATATAGATAGATGGATGGATAGATATAGATAACTAAAATGTTCATAGCATTTATGTTTGGGTGGTGATATTATAATTGACTTTTGTTTTCTTCTTCATATATATATGTATTTTCAAATTTTCCAAAACAAAATGGGGAATATAATTTTTTAAGACGAGACTAAAATAGTATTTCATTAAGGTTTATCTTTCTAGAGACAGCAAGACACAAAAAAGAAGAACATGGGTAGTTCAAAGCTGGTTCTCACAGTTACTAGCTTTATGGTCAAACTCCAGGAGCCCATATTTCCTTCCAAATAAAACAAGGTTAAGAATAACTAAATTACAAGGTTGTTATGAAGATTACATTAGATTAAAAATTCTGTGTAAAACCACGTAACATATACTAGATACACAATCAATTTTACTTCCCCCTCACCTCTTGCCCCCATCTTTGTATTCCCAAGTTGAATTAAAAATATATATGTGTGTATAAAATTATTTTGTATAAGGCATTCTGTAATAGTTACAATTTATTTTAAGATGGAAGTTTTATCCTTCCTTTGAAGATTAGGATTAATGATCAAAAGAGCACTGGAATGTTATCTGATAATTCTTTACAAAAAATTTTTTGGATCAATCAGACCACTATTTCTCTTGACCATAAGAACAGACGTTATAGAATGATAATGCCTCTCATAAAGAGCTTGTAGAGAGATATTAGCCAAGTTGTCTGGCCTGAACAATCTTGCCTTATTTTCCCCACCTTTAAAATAGGAAAAGGGATTTGCCTTTACTAGATATTCAGTCAATATCAAACATAACTCAGTGTGGTATAGAAGATGAGCTATGGATACAGATGACCCAGTTGACCAGATGAACCAGTTACAATACTGGCTCTTCTACCTGTTAGTTCTGTCATCTTGAGTTACTTAATCTTTCTCTGCCTTAATTTTCTTATCTGTAAAATGAAATAAAAATACCTATCTCATAAGTTCGTGGTAAAGGATTGAATGAAATAAATTATGTAAAGCACTTAGAACAGTGTCTAGGGTGTACTTATACTTAGTAAATGTGCCAACACTTAGAACACTGCATGCACAAAACAGGTACTCAATAAATATTGTGGAATGAATGAAATGTACACTAGAATTTATTCTGATAAAGGAACAAGGCTATCTTTCCCATAAGGCACAAAAACCTTTGCCACTATCCAATGTGACAGCAGTAGACATTCACTAGACTCTAATTTATGGCCCTGTGGACTTATGTCAATAGTTTGATTTAGCTCTGGACATTCGGACATCTCCCCAACATTTTCCAGTGACTTCTAGATTCATGGTTGTATAGAGGAGGCAGGCATGACTCATGTTTTTCATTTACTTACCATTCTGTCATCTGCCCTACCATGCCAAGTCCTTACAGTTTTGGCAATAGATTGCTTTCAAGGATGTGACAATATTTGAAAAATCTAGGGAACAGTAAACCTTTTATTATTCTTTTTTTCTTCTGATAATCTCATGGGCCCACTGTCATATCTAAATATTCTGATTCTCAGAGCATCCCTAACTCAACTGCAAAACAGTTCAGTCTTGTTCAGGCTTGAACAAATTCCATGAACTTTGTTTCCATATGGAACAGAACTTTCCTTAAAAATGCACATGCTGTTCGTAGCTTTCATGGGCCTCCAATAAATTATCTTCATTAAGTCTTCCTTCCTCATCTTTTAAGATGTCATACTTAATGACAAAAGTAGGTGGCAATTCAGAAGAAAATGTAATTTTAGAATACACTGAGAGGCAGTGTAAGGAAGGGCTGAGTCTGAGAACTCAGATCATGGTCCTACACTTAAATCTTGTCACGGTGGACAGTCTGTTTAACCTCAGCCTGTTTCCTTGTCCTCCCGCTAATGAGATAATAATTGCACCAACTACAGTGGTGGCTGTGAGGATTCAATGGGACGCTGCTCATAAAGCTTAGATCATGGTGTACGTGTTTGGTAAATATGAGCCTCTTCTATTATCATTTGAGTCTCTGGGATTTTTGCTCTGAATATTTTTCTCCCTTTATATAGAGTACAGAACAATCCTGTAATTCCAGGTCTCATTCATAAAAGCCTAAGCTTCTTTAAGCCCAGATCTTACCTGCCCAAAGCAATTGTTAGGTCTGTCTCTGAGACTTGTAATCCACAGATGCCTCCCCTATATAATTCTTTCAGCTCCATCATGTTCCTCTCTGCCTTCTGCAGGTTGACATAAGCCTCTCTGCCAGTAAAACAGTAAAGGAAAATGCCAGGCACACAAACTCCCCCACTGCCCAGGGTTAGCAGTTGATAAGCAAACAAAAGGGCCCCTTGGGAAAACGAAGCAGTATTTGAAAATGGGCACTTCACTATGTGCTCTGTTTTCCATATGTATATGTTATCAGGAAGGGAGAATTCTTTAGAAAAGGAACAGGGCCTTGGGTTTCCAGTGGTGGGCGCCTGAAGCCAGGGCTGGGGTGGGTGGTGAGCATTTGGAGGAATGAACAGAAACCATAAATTACACTCGATTTCCTTTAGAGGCATCCACTGTGTGACAACAGTTACTCATTTTTCCCAAATTGGTTCCTATGAATGGTAAAAGAAAGGAACTAATTTTGCTGAAAGGGACTTTCTGGGTCATTTAGAAAGTCCAAGCAAAGCAGGTTTTTGGCAAGAGGCAAATAGCAGGAAAGAAAATCCCCTTAATTCCCAAATATCCTTCTATTTCCCACATTTTCAATAACCCCCTGCTAAGGGCATAACAGAGGAAGGCCACATATCAGATTTGGCAAGTTGAGCATCAGGACAAAAAATGTAGAGGGGGGGATGTGTAGAGAGGAGGGATTGGGGACACACGGGCTCAAAGTGGGCTCGTGATCATTCACGAACATGAGCTACCCTTCACAGTTTTCACGTGGAGATGGTACCAAAAGGCTGTCAAAATCACAACCTTTTTGAGGAGAGGCATACATAAGAGTTCCCTTCTGGGGAAGTGGAGAACTATTTCTTTTGTCTATTTTGCTTGGCCTCCAGCTTCATGGGCAGTATTCTCAACAGTATTTCAGAAAAACTAAAATGATCAAGAGTCCATTAAATCAGAGGGTTTTGGCTGCATGTTACAATCACCTGGGGGCCTTTTAAAAATCTCAATGAACAGACCTACTAAATCAAAATCTCTGGGGTGGGACACAAACAGCAGGAATTCTTAAAGCTCCCCAGGGGATTACAAGGTGCAGCGTACTTTGACAAACAGTGCTTTACATTACCACCCATTCTCCCTCTGCCTACACTACCAACCACCACATCGCCCTGTCCTCGTTGCTAATAGTGGTTTTCTTGGGTGCTCAGTGAAGAGCAGGACAGACTCCAAAAACTTTCAACTGGCTAAGGGAGATGTCCCCAGTGAGATCCCTCCCATGGCTCAACTCAGAGCTTATATGAATAGACACAGGAGGAACATTCATACCTTTCAAGATGGAGAGAAGAGGCTGGTGGAGGGCCTGGATGCTGGAATAAAGCTACAAGGCCTTGGTTCCATCTCCCACCCTCCTGTGTGAGACGACCCATCTGGCACATGTGGCCCTCGGCCCTGACCACCAGACCCAGCTGGGAAGGGAAGGATATTGGTTCTGCAGAAGCCAGGCCACCCCCAGCGTGTAGTAGAGCATGACCAGAGCTTCCACGATTTCCTTTTTTTCCTTGTCTGAGGTCGTGTTTCCCTTCCAGGTCAGCAGTGTGTTCTTGGCAGACTCAGCATGTTTCTTGGCCTGAGCTGGGAGGCCTGGGGAAGTTTGAGGGTGGGTGGCAAGAATAAAAACATTAAAAAGGTATGTTTCAGTCAAAGACATTCCTGGGAGGGGGAAAGGTGGGCAGTGTGGTTGTCAATGGTCTATAGTATTGGTTCCCAAATCTGGCGGGGCATCAGAGTTATCTGGAATGCTTGTAAAGAATATAGATTCCTGGGCCCTACCCCAGACCTACTGAGTTAGAATCTCTAGAGGAACGGGGTCCCGGAATCTATATTTTTAACTAACTCCACCAGTGCATCTTATGCAGCCGTCCCAGCATTAGTCTGTGGACCTCTCTTTGGAAATCACTGACAGAGACAGGAGTGGAAGGTGAGGATCTAGTCCCAATTCTGCTGCTAATGCCCTGTGACCTTTTCAACCCCCAAAGCTTCTCCAGCCTCCAAATGCAGAATGACAACAATAATTATAGAAGCTGCCCCTTGACCAAACACTTGGAGTAGTCCAGGAACAAACTAGGTTATGCCACAGAGCGCTATGCTGTGAGTTTTCTGGAAGAGGCATTCTATAAATACAATTACTTCCATCTGGGGATTTTTTTTCAATCCAGGGTGAAGCTGGTGATATTAACTGGTCACACACATGCACAAAGAATCGAATTTCTAAATGCAGTGAGGCCCCTCACTAAGAAGCTAGATAGAACTTGATGTGTTTCCCCTTGTTTTCTAACTAAAGGCTAGTGTTCCTGGGCACTTACTTGAACTGCTATTTGTCCAGTTAAAAGAGGTAGACTTGGGAAAATTCAGTGTATAGAACTATTTCCTCATCTTCCAGCCTTGCTCATGTCTAGTGATCCCTGATGGGAAAGGGGAAGCTCTGGAGAAAAGAGAAAGGCCAGCAGAGAACATATTATCCTAGTTCTCCTCCACTCTACTGAAGACAGTCATGGCCGGTGTTCACTTTCAGCTCTCCTCTCTGCTGCACCTAGGGGCTGGTAAACATATTCAACCCTGCCAAGGAGGCCCACTGTGCCTCTAACTCTCACTTCACACTCCCAGCCCTCAGTTTGCTCTCCCTTTGGCTCTTAGAGCCTGGTTTCACACTATGGGCGTAGTTAATAGCAACAGGGATGATTTGAAAAGACTTGCATTTGATGCCTGCAGCCCTCATATGTGCCAGATGTGCAGGACCTCCTTAATGAGTCACAACAGTGAGAACAGAGCTTCTCTGGAGAGCCCTAAAAGTGACCCCAAAGCCAAGAAGTCTTTGTAGAACACTCAGAAGGTGCCTGTTCTAGGTTTCAACTGAAGAGAAAAATGGACTCTGTGGTGGGCTGTGTCTTAAGTTACCAGATAACAGTAGTCCTCAAATTGCACTGTGCATGTGCAGCACCCTGTTAAAGTGCAGATCCCTGGGCCTCACTTCCAGTAGTTACGGTTCACAAGTTCTAAGGTGAGAACCAAGGATTCACGTTTATAACAACCATCCTAGGAGATACTGATGCAGGCCATCTGAGGACCACACTTGGAGAAACTGAGTTAGTAAAATCTTTGTACAGGAAGTGGGACTCATCTCATTTCTGAAGAGCACGTAGGGTTTTGACTGATGGAGAAGAATGAGAGGGGGTTTCCTCTTGGAGTAAATAACCTAAGGCCATAAAGACAGAATAAGCAAGTGTGTGCATATGTGTGTGTGTCCATGTGTGTGCACGCACACAATGTTGGGGTAAGGTTAGCGGGATGTAGGAGTGTTAGAGAAAACAGTAAGGAAACCAGTCTGACTGAAGGGGAGGTTTAGATTTCAAGACATATAAGGTATGAATGTATGAATTGGATAGGTAACATGGAGTCTTGGATGCCAAGATGAGGAGGCTGGATTTGATCTGTTAGGTAACAGGGAGTCTTCATAGGTCTTGACGAAAGACAGCAGCAACAGGAAACTACTCAGGACATCAGACCAAGATGGTAATGTGGGAAACTGAGAGCATTTTTATCAAGTAGGTGGTTTTCCACAACCAGGTGAGCCCTTGGGCCTGTGACAATAAGGAGTGCAGGAGTTAAATTTAGATGCTTCCCAGGGTCTGTAGGAAGGACAAAAGTGAAACTAGACGAGCTACTGAAAACCACTCCCGGGTCAGCACAACACTCCTTCTGGGCTCCTGAATGGAAAACAAATGAGAAAGTTGCTCTGAGGCTTTGCAGTCTGCACCTCCCGCCCCCAGAGTGCCCCGTGCTGGTTGTGAAATCCCCAGAGGAATGCTTTTTCCCTAAGCTCAGCAGCTGATTAATTATAGAGTTCCTCATCTCCACTTGACCATGCCCCACACTGTGGTCTCGCTGATGAAAAAGCTGAGCTGGTGACCAATGGGGCTTAAGCAAACTTGATTTAAAACAGCTCATTAAACTTTAAAGTAAGCCCTAAAGGGAAAAATCATTCCTTTCACCATCCAGAATTCACTCTGGTCTCCACAGTGGGGTGCATGTACCCCTACAGGCATGCAAGATGCCATAAGGGTGTGGGGGAAAAAAATCAAAACTCCTCTGCGACTTTTTTATCTTATCTTTTTTGTTTTCTATTTTTATGAATATTTATAATACTACATATTAGTACTATTGTACAGAATTTATAATAAATACACATATACGGAGAGTGTTTGCCCAAATTTTTTTTAGTGATAAGGGAGCTAATTCTCAAGAGTTTGGAGACCACTGCTTTAGAAAATGTTTCCCAACCTTTTCAAGTATGAAAGAGATCTTTTTATGTTTATAAAAAAAAAATCTCACTTTGCGATATTTTTATAGCATTTCCTACATGAGAAAATTCATGATGACAAAAGTACTATGAATCAGTATCAGCAATACTTTGAAATGAATAGGCTTTTTATTAATTTCAAGAACACCCTCCTTCATGTAAAAATAACGCTCTGCATATATGTATATGTATGAGACATTTTATCTCTCTATGGAGGATGGTCATGGATTCATGATCTCATTCCCTAACTCCAGGTCCCCCCTCCCCGATTCCAATGTCTGCTCTGAGACCAAGTCATTTTCCTTTACTTGCCCTCCCAAGCCAAGGACACCATCCCTCTCCCTGCACCAACAGTGCAGCAGTCACAGAAGTAAAAATCAGGGTGGCAGCAAGACCTGCTCCTGGAGCCTGAGATTCAGAAATTACAAGAACAAATTCATGAACTGGAAAAGGGGTCCAGAGATGCTCCACCAAACATATCAATCATTTGCCTTACTTTGGGATGAGATTCCACCACTGATGTCTGTTACTGGGACTCAGGCCAGAGAGAATCTGCTCAGAGCTACCCGCCATGGGAGGTTGCTGTTGTCACCTTATATCATCATCTGTATTTAAGAAGTTAGCGTGGCACAGTGATTAAGAAAGCTGAGTCTAGAGCTAGCCTTCCCTGGTACAGATCCTGGCTTAGCCACTTACTACTATCCATGTGGCCTTGAACAGTCACTTAATCTGTCTGTGCCTCAGTTTACTCACCTATAAAATGGTAATGAAAATACCTTCTACCTTGCAGCGTCATTGCAAGGATTAATTAATTCATGAAAAAGGATTAAATAGTACCTGGTACAAAAGAATGAAATGAGTTTGAATAAATATTAGCCATTATTATTATTACCAGGATCCACTCCTCTTAAGCAATTTATTACATTTGTCCTTTGGCCATTTTTCATAGAGCTGCTCACAGAATCTCTATAAAAGGCTGTATTCTCAAATGCAAACTCCCTTCAGACAGGTAGTAGGCTTCCTGCAGGTCAGATCACCTGGTGTGTATCATTCCCTGCTCTTCTTGTACCAGTTTTTTTTACCAACTAGACAGGGAAGGTAGGGTTCATGACTTATGCTTCTCGTTCTGCATTTTGCAACAATTGTTAGTAGAGCCCCGGATACCTGGAAGGTTCCCAGTAATAACAGGCTGACTGATTAGTTTATTGCTTCATTAATAATATGCAAAACATCAGGAACCTGCTTGTCCATGTTACTGTATTCTCCTCCCTGAACTCTTGAAAACAGTCCACCACTAGGTGACACACCATCCTGTTGTCCTCTGCTTGCCCTTCTCTCAGCCGCTGAAGCCCTAGGCTCATTGGGATTACCACCCGGTCAGCTGGCAACAGCCTTCCACCTCTACCGGCCATTACTCTATTTCACCAACCACCAGCCTTTTATACTCGCAGCTTTGCAAAGGCCTCACGGTCTCCCGTGTTATTGACTCATGAACCCCATTCCACCAATTGCTCCATTTCTTAAAAGCTTCAGACCTCTAACTGGCTCCTTTCTCACTGCCTAAAATCTTCCTGGGTCTCCTTCTTTATAAAATTATCTTCACACAATTTTCCACCTTTTGTAGTTACCATCCTACTTTCCCTCGTTCCTTTCTATTAGTGGTCTCACACCTTTCATACACGGTCTAGTCTACTGGTCCCCGTTCCTTCCCCTCATCCCTGGGATCTGGCTTCTGCTCCAAACATTCTGTGGAAGCTGTTCTCCTGAGGCCCCCAAAGACCTCCTACTAAATAAATCCAGTCACATTTTCTTGGTCCCCATCTCGCGGCAGCCTCAGACACCCTTGGTGACTTGGCTTCTCCTCTTGGCTCCCAAGGCACTGCACCAACTCAGTTCTCCTTTACAAACCTTCTCTAATTGGTTCTTTGCTAACTCTTTACCAGGATCCTTTGTTCCCTTCCATTAATGTGTCCATTCTCCAAGGGTCTGTCTTTCACTTTCTCCTTTTTCTTTTCTCTCTCTCTCTCTCAGAAGTTTCATCAACTCCTATAACGTCAACATTGGCCTCTATGCTTATCATTTTCCATTTCCCCTCCCTGGTTCTGGTCTCAAATACTCCTCTCCATACTTATGATTCTCCTTCTCTCCTCTCAAGTTCTGGTCCCAAATTTCCAGCACCAAGTAAAAATGTGCTAGTGGATTTCTCTATTGCAATTCAAAATCAATATATCAAAAATTGGACCCACCATTCCTCTCCACGTCTGCTTCCCTTCCTGACCTATTT